AGATAGATAGATAGATAGATAGATAGATAGATAGATAGATAGATAGATAGATAGATAGATAGATAGATAGATAGATAGATAGATAGATAGATAGACAGAGAGAGAGAGAGAGAAAGAAAGAAAGAAAGATGGGGGAGGGGGGGGAAATTGGAACTCCAACTACAAAGAGTCGCAAAAACAATTCATGTTTTTGGTAGTCATTAAATATACATAGGACAAACTTGTGTTCGCAAATGTTATTGAAGAAAGGCGAGCAAGATGCAAACAATGACGTAAAATTGTCCCCTCTCCCTTCTCTCTCTCCCCATTTTTCTTCCCCCCGATACCTTTAGTTTGTGTTCCCCTTCCTCCAAATAATTGTTTATCATACAATCAATTATAAGCATATACGAACAATTATAAATAATTAATAAAAATTGGCACACGAATTACGGGCAAAGCAAATACTATATTCTTTATTTTAGGATACAAGTAAAAAAACAACACACTCAGAAATGTGTGACTTTAATTTGTTTTTTTGTTTATGTTTAATCTGTGGCAATAATATATAGGCATTCGTGATTGCAGTCGTAAGAAAAAAATTGTACGGCTGCGTAGCACGACGAACGTGTTCGCGCCCCTTCAGGTTCGCGCGAACATGTTCGCTCGTTCGCGCGAACAGCTTACAAACATGTTCAGATGAACATAATTTCTTTTCCATTAAAAAAAAAAAAAAAAAAAAAAAAAAAGTTTTTGATTCTTAACTCATGATGGGTTACGAATTTGAACATGACTCCATGACAAAAGTTGCTTCTATTGTTATTTTACATAGCATATAGTTTTTTTCGATTTTTCTGAGAATGTTTTTATTTTTATTTTTATGTTCACGTTCGGATGGTTTTTGGTGCTTGTTTGCGTTCGGGCGAACATGTTCGTATTCGCCTCCGAACGCGAACACGGTGCTACGTCGGTATACGAAAGTAATGTTAATTTTCATCTAGAACATAGAAATATATTTACCTTATTAAAGTTTAATGTGTTTCACAGATAATACTTCAAATATGGAGGGGGAGGAGGGTTGAAGGAATATTTTTATTTTTATTTAGTATAGATAGATAGATAGATAGATAGATAGATAGATAGATAGATAGATAAATAGATAGATAGATAGATAGATAGATAGATAGATAGATAGATAGATAGATAGATAGATAGATAGATAGATAGATAGATAGG